CAACAGAGGTTGACCTGGCTTGGGGAGTTGCTGATGTCTCCTAAAAATAAGGAGAAAATATTGCCTCCATGTCCCCTTTACGTGACTTGGTTAACTTTAATTTAAATGGAAAATACCCATTTAATTGGTATGCTATAGGAATAGGAACTTACAATAAATTCATCTTTAACAAAATTAATCCACCGTGGCAAATGTAATGAAGCTCGCCATGTGTTGAGAACCAATTGGTTGATAATTGCATGAGGTTGCATTTATGGTAGTCTTTCCATGAAATAATCCATTTTCCAAATAAGAATATGTGGACCCTTACTTTAAAGATGGTAAGTCCTATTCCTAATAGGACTTACCTCTTTCCTCTTAAAATAGAAAAAACCCTACATGGTAGGATTGTACTAACCCACTTGTCTTTGACTGCTACATAACATAGCTTTAATACTCCAACAATAACTTATTAGAGTTGCAATCCAGCGTGGTAAGTTCCATTGAAACTCACCACATGTCACATTTCCAATGGACCAAAAATAGTGGAGTAAACATATGCCCCCCAAATTCCATGCCATGTGGAACAACTTGATGATAAGGCATGGGATTTGAATTCCGCCATCATGACCCTCTTAAAACTCCAATTTCCTCTTTCCATGCAGTTGACTTTCTTGCTTCCTTCAAAGTATATTTATACTGCCACTTGGTTGACAAGTATCACTCATTCCAAAAAAATCCTATCCCTGTATGGCAAAACTTCATTCCTTTTAAAATTTGAAATCTCCAAACAAATCCCCTTAAAAGTCGCCCTTGGATTAAGACAACTCAAGTAATCATTAGTTGAAGAATTTCAATGCAATACGCTACTAGTTCCTCGGTTTCCTCCATATCAATCCTTATCCGCCGCCAACTTTCAAAAGACATTTCGTGTCCCAATATAAGTTCTACCCATTTATGGCTAAAAACCATCCAGTTTCCTAATCTTTATTACCTTCTTTTGAATTTTGAAAAATCCCAACTAACAACCCTTAGAAAACGTAACTCTCATTACTTATATATATATATGTATGTGTATCGTTTATCCTCATCAGAAAACCTTTCTATTTTTTCCCCTTTCTTCTCCTCCAACCAAACCCTAAGAAGTAGCAAGACTCTAACTTTGTAGCAGTAACGAATCATGGCTCCTGTGAAAGCTAAAAAACCGCCCAAACAAACCACTAGCTCCTCTCTTCCAGCTCCTTCAATTCGACCTAAAATCAAAACTCGAAGCCATAGTCACCAAGTCCAATTACTTCTGCAATCCCTGAATCCTGCTAGGCTCCTCTGATTCCCCTTGAAGATTCCTCAATTGGGCTTGGATCGGCTTTTGCAGGTGTGGCTCCCTCCGAGTTGGCAGAGCTCTACCCTTTTAGTACGTCTCCTCTCCCCTTTGATTCAGAATTCCCTCTTATTTTAAAGAAAGGGAAAAAAGTAAAGCCTTCCTGCAGTATAAAGAATTGGCCACCATATCGTTCCTCTTGGTCGTCCTGGGTGAATCGTCTGTCCAAAGATGAAAAGATTTCATCACAGTGGAAAAAACACGGAATGTTTGATATTATCCAGATCAGCAAGGCCTCCATTACACTTGACCCAAACCTCCTCTTTCCAACCCTCTTTTTCTGGTCTTCAACCACAAATGCCCTTCATTTGAAATGCGAAATGATGTCCCCAATCTTAAGGGATATTTGTTGCATTATTGGCCTTAAACCTCATGGAGATGATGTCAGTGCTGCTCTCTATGTCGACCAATTCTCTTTTCCCACCAAAAGCACTGGTAGCAAGAAATTTGTTTCATCCCACATTCCTTTCATCAAACACTATAAAGGAAGCGGGCCAGTCGAAGAGGACGAGCATATAGCTTTCCTAATCTGTTGGCTTTCTAACTACTTGTTATGTGTTCCATCCGGGCAAGTTACCAAGGACTTTGTTTAAGTTGTCATATCTTTGGCCAGGAATGGAGATTTAGTATTGGCTCCCCTCGTACTCTCTCATCTATACAGAGGTCTGAATGACCTCCTTACCTCCAAATTTTCAAGGTTCCAGGGCCCTTTCTGGTTGTTCCAAATGTGGCTTAAGGTGTATTTCCAAGACAGAACTTCTTCTCTTGCCATGCAAACTGGACAAACCCTTTTATGTTATCCCTTAGCTACAACAACCCCTTTTCCTTTCAGCTTTGCTGAAAACTTTGAGTATTTTTACAACCAATGTGAAGTGGGAGATGACAAATTCTTCGACCCTTTTACTTTCCTTGGTCGCATGCCATCATGGCTAGTCCCTTTTCTAGGGGTTTCCACCAAAAAGCATTCTGGAGAGTGGAAAAATATCTGGGAGAGTTTTCTACTTGCTCGAGATCTTCATTACAATACTGCCAACCTTACTATCAGGAACAACTTTTATGGTGTGGAATTCTATAGTCCAGCTCAACTAGCTAGGCAAATGGGATTCACCCAACTCATTCCCTTACCACCATACAAATCTCAAAACAGATACTTTGACCAAAGAGTGAGAATTACAGATGTTGCCAAATTTACAGCAATTGATAAAGCTTATGAAGTGGAAAGGTCAGCTTTCAACTTTCAAGGACATACTAGCAAGCCTCAATCTTCTAATGAAATTTACCGTATGGTGGACGACCTACATTTCCTCCACTCAGACAAAAAATCATAAGGCCATTTGTGACAGTATTTTAGCCTCCTTCAAACCCTTATCTCCAGGTAATATGTATTTTTAAATGAGCATTGCCTTCCTTCTTTTCTGTTTCCTTTCCCTATACTAAAGATTTAACTTAAAAATTCCTCAGATGGAGAAGAAGAAATTCTAAAGGAAAGTGATGAAGAAGAAAGCGACGAGAAGAACACTGTTTTGCCCACCAAAATTGAAGGTATGGCCAAAAGTGGTAATATGAGTCATGAACTTATCTCTTCCAGTAACGAAGAAGAAGAAGAAAAAGTTGAAGAAGAGGAAGAAGAAGATGCCTTGTAGAAGGCAAAAGGGAAAGAAAAAATATCTCAGGTATTTCCAACAAAACCATACTTAAATTTTCCAACTTTAGATTTTCCTAATATCTCCTTTTGTAGGGACTGGTCATTGTAAAGAAAGAGTTTCAACCCCAGTTCTCTTCCTCTGATGAAGATTCCTCCAATGACGATGGTATTTCCAAAGGGTAAACCCAAACTCAGTATTTTGTCAAAAAAACCACCAAGTGTAGTCCCACTGGAAAAGTTACTAGGAAGGCAAAAAGGAAAATTGACTTGGAAAAGGCCGAGGAGTTCAAACAACCAAAAGACTCTCTAAAAATAAAAAAGTTAAAACCAACCAAAGAAATTGTTTTGGTAAGTCTCATTTGTTATCTTCTTCATCATTTTAAATTTCTAAAATATCCATAATCCTTTTTATACTCATCTTGTAGGGTTCTTCCAAGATCCAGTCAGATGTGCAAGTTGCTCCTGGAGAAGACTTAAACCTTCAAGCCTTTATTATGGAAAGTTTGGTAGACCAAAGTGGAAAATCTTTGCCCATTCTAACTCCCACTATTGGAACATCCATTCCTTCCAGCACTGGTGGAACGTCTACTGACCCTCCTCCTTCCATCCCAAAGGCAAGTCTTCACACTTTTAAACTTCGCCTCCTTTCTTATTTCTTATGTAATAAACAAAACCTTTCTTTCCTTCAGGCTACTCCATCTTTGTCCACATCAACCTCTTTCATAATGCATAGAGGAGCTCTTCTAGCATTGGCCGATCTATACAAAGTGATCAAAGCCACTCAATCTTCAAGCACCTCAACTTTGACTGCCAACGTGCCTGTACTTTCAGATACCTTAGAAGACCCTCTTAGTGCAGCCAAAAGAAAATTGTTGTCCTACCTTGCTTATGATGTGGAAAAAATTGTGACTTTCCATCAAGATTTGGCTGGTACTATAGTTACCCTGAAGAAACACCCTGGATTTCCTGATTACATTCAGACTGCTTTGACCAAACTACAACATCAACTTCAATTTCTTGTTTCCCATGTGAATTCCAGTTCTTCCTCCATCTCAGAATATGAGAGAAAAGCTAGACTTAGGGATAAAGCCTTTGAAAGTTTTCATCTTACTTTAGCACCCTATCCGGAGATTAAGACACGAGCTGAGGAACTTGCAACTAAGAGAAACACCTTGACTGAAGAGCTAAACAAAATTCAGAAAGAACTAGAACAAGTGGACGCGATGAGCTGGAACTGGATCAAACTACTAGTGCTATTCTTGCTAAATCTGAGCCTCATAGAAAAGAATGGGAAATTCTAGTAAACAAACTTCCCCAACTTGAAGAGACGAAAAACAAAGCACTGGCTACTCTGGAAGAAGCAAGAAAAATTTGGATTGTACTTGGAAATGTTCTTCTTGCCATTTGATGGGGTTTTCTCATGATGTTTGAAGTGGTTACTATGTAGGGAATAAGTAGACTCCTCCTAGAATCTTTTGTATGGCTAGCTCTTAGAGTTAGCGGCCATTTTTGAAATGTGTAATGGAATTATGGATCTAATGAAGATAGAGGTTATTTCTCAACTCTTTTTGGTTTTGTGCCTTTACATAGAAAATCATTGAAAACTGGAAACAAACCTTTTCCATATATTAACAATGATACTGTCACCAAGTGACTTTCCAAAACAAAGGAATTTAGAAGAAATAAAAGATAGGAAACAACATGTATATACAACAATGTCAATCATTTTCCAAGATATTTAAAACCTAGACCATGAGATGCAGCTCCTTTCTCAACGAAAAAAAGAAACTCCATACTTGGAAAATTGTCTTGGAAATGTTTAACTGAAAAAATTCTCCAAGGCCCTAGCCAATGTACCCTTTCAAGTACTTAGCTTTTCTTCTTTAAGGGATTCCCCTCGTACATTCTGACTTAGCTATATAAATGGCCAAAGTATGGCCATTGAGATTCCTTTCCAACTTTCCAGCTTACTTGGAAAAGAGGGTACCAGCCAGACTATGTGGCTGGTTGAATGATTGTGGATGTCCAACTTTCATAAATGGAAGGATGATACTCTTTCAAGTACACACCATTCATAGGATGCTTGTGGGATTCTCCATCTATATCCATTAATCTATAAGCCCCTTTTCCAAGGACTCGTTCTACCAAGTAAGGACCCTTCCAATTTGGGGTCCACTTTCCATATTCCTTATCTTTGACTCCCGGTGGAAATCTGACTTGCCATACCAGGTCTCCTTCAACAAATGTTTTTGCTTTAACCTTCTTGTTGTACGCCCGCATGACTTTATTCTTTTGACCAATAATATGGTCCAAGGCATTAAGACAGACTTCATTGAGGTCTTGAAATTCCACCAACATGGCATGGTTGTAGTCGGCCGGAGTAAGCTTGTTTTGGAAAGCCTCTCTTGCAGATCTTATGGTCATTTTCATTGGAAGAACGGCATCATGTCCATATGTGAGCATATATGGTGTGATGCCAGTACTTGATCTTTTTGAATTTCTATAAGCCCAAAGAGCCTCAAAAAGTAAGTGATGCCATTCCCTCGGATGATTCTCAATCATCTTTTTAAGGATATTGAGAATTACTTTATTGGAAGCCTCAGCCTGTCCATTTGATTGAGCAAAATATGGAGTAGAACTGATCACTTAGATGCCACACTCAGCACAATAATCAAGAACTTTATTTCCAACAAAGAAAAGTCCTCTGTCAGTGGTGATAGTCTTTGGAATTCCAAACCTATGAATAATGTGCTTCCTGATAAAATCAATCACCGTTGGCTGCTCACAGGTCTTTAATGGAATAGCCTTTACCCACTTTGTAAAAATAGTCCGTTGCTACCACAATATGAGTATGTCCATCTATAGATGGCGGTGTTAACTTTCCAATAAAGTCCAAAGCCCATCCTCTGAATAACCATATTTTTACTACTGGCTGCATGTTAATAGCTGGAACTCTTTGGACCGGGCCATGTTCCAGACATTCAGTACAAGTCTTTGCAAACTCTATGCAATCCTTTAGTATACCCTTCCAATAGTAACCATACTTTCTCAAAAGCCACCTCATTTTGATCCCAGCTTGATGTGCTCCGCATATTCCAAGGTGTGATTCTGCTATCACTCTCATGGACTCACTATTGCCAAGACATCTTAGCAAAAACCCATCTTCTTTACTTTTCCTGTATAGATCTCCATCAATCAAGATATAATAAGGTGCCAAAAGCTGAATTCTTTTGTCCACGTTGGTACTAGGCTCCTGTAAGAAATGGATGACTGGTGTTCTCTAATCTTCCAAGTCTAAGCCATCTATATCAACATTGAAAATCTCCCATGTTTTCTTGGCAGGCTTGACCCTTTCTGGCTCATCAGCTTGGAAATGACCTATCATCTCATACTGTGACTCTATAGAAGGAAGAGTCCTTCTTTTGATTGTAATCAAAGTTTCTTCTACACCCGGTGGAACCTTCACTCTGGAAGCTAGCTGTGCTAAATCATCAGCCTCCATATTCAAATATCTTGGCTAATCTTTGAGTTGGAAGTCATCAAACTGGCAAAGTAATTCCAAGGCCAAAGAATGGAAAGGCCTCAAATGCCAATTAAGACACCTAAATTCTTTAGAAAGTTGGCTGAGTATCAAATTTGAATCTCCAATAATCTGGACCTTCTCAACTTTTAGCTCCAATAGGATTTCCAGCCCAATAATTAGCGCTTCATATTCAGCTTGGTTATTTATACACTTGAAATCCAAGAAGAAAGAAAATGTGGTTTTTCTCCCCTATGGTGAAATGATGACTATTCTAACTCCTCCTCCATCATGAGTGCTTGATCTATCAAGCATGAAAGTCTAAGGTGTATAATCAAGGTAGAGATTATCCACCTCGTCACATCATTCTGAATCAATCTTGGTGGAAGGATGGTCTGTTAGAAATTCTGCCACCGCCCTTCCTTTGATTGCCTTTTGTGGAATATACTTGAAGGAAAACTCCATTAAGGCCAATGACCACTTTCCAATACGTCCAGTGATCAAAGGCCTTGAAATCATATACTTAATCAAATCTATTTGAGAAATGATATACACAGCCACTAGCAACATATAGGTTCTTAACTTCATAGCGGCATAGTATAAGGAAAGGCACAACTTTTCAATGGAAGTATACCTATATTTCACTGGAGTGAGCACCCTACTTAGATAATAGATGGCTTGCTCCTTTCCCTACTCATTATTTTGGGCTAGAAGAGTTCCAATGGATTCGTCAGCGGCCAATAAGTATAATCTTAAAGGTCGCTTCTTGATTAGAGGCATCTTCACTGGAGGGTTGGTCAGGTAGCTTTTCAGACCTTCAAAGGTTTGCTGGTGCTGTTCCGTCCACTTAAACTCCTCAGCACCTTTCAATTTCAACAATGGGGAGAAAACATGAGTCTGTCCAGCATGGTTGGCAATGAATCTCCTCAAATATCCAACATGGCCAAGAAACCTTTGTAGTTCTTTCTTAGTGGCCGGTGGCTTTGCTTCAATAATTGCCTTTGCTTTATTTTGGTCTACTTCAATACCTCTTTGGTGGACTAGAAAACCTAAGAAATTTCTAGTTGAAACCCCAAAGGCACACTTCAAAGGATTCATCTTCAACTTGTGCTACCTCATTCTTTCAAAAGCCATCTTTAAATTATAGAGATGTTGAGCCTTGGCTGAGGATTTGATGACTACATCATCAATGTAGACTTCCAAGAAATGGCCAATCATGTCATGGAAAATGGCATTCATGGCCTTTTGATATGTTGCTCCGGCATTCTTCAACCCAAATGGCATGACAACCCATTCAAAGGTTCCAATGGATCCTAGACATCTGAAAGCCGTCTTGGTAATGTCTTCTTCCGCAATATAAATCTAGTTGTATTTGGAATGCCCATCTATGAATGAAAGAATTTCATTCTTGGCACCAGAATCTACTAATTGGTCAGTAAAAGGCATGGGGTATTCATCTTTTAGAGTTGCAAGATTGATATTCCGGAAATCCACACATACCTTTAGCTTGCCATTTTTCTTTATAACTGGAACTATATTGGAAATCCAATCAACATACCTGGTGGTTCTTATAAAACCAGCCTTGTGTAGCCTTTCTATCTCTTCTTTGACCTTTAGAACGACTTCTTGGGACATTCTTCTTGGAGGCTGCTTGGAGGCTTAAAACCTTCCTTAATTGGCAACTTATGCTCTACCAGCTCTCTGGAAAGTCCTGGGATTTCCTCATATGTCCATGCAAAGCAATCTTTGTATTCTTCAAGTAAGGAAATCAATTCTTCTCTAAAGGTCAGTTCCAAAAGCTTACTGATGTAGGTAGGCCGAGGGTTCTGTTCTGTTCCAAGATTAACTTCTAAAAGTGGATCATGTACTTTGGCCTTGAGATCGTCTAACTTCGTTGGCGTAGCCTTCAAGTCCGTTAGCTGGATAACATCCAACTTGTCTTCAGTATCTTCCATAATCTCCAAAACATTGGTTGAAAATGAAATACCAGCAACAACAGCCCTTTCCAGCCGTAATTTGGCTAGATATACTTTCAACCTGGCAAGGCAACAGTTAACCGCCTGGCCAAGTATTCTATTTTCTTTAGGTTTCTCTTCCATAAAAACTTTTATTTGAAATGTAGTGCTGAACACTGGCCTTGGGTAGAATTGTTGGCCTTGGTGTTTCTTGGAAAAGCTCCCTTACATCTTCCGTAAGAGTCCTTCTCATGGTAGCCTTCCTTGGATGGCCCTTGGTATCCTTTCCAATAAATCAGATTGGAACGAAGTCTTCACTATACAACTCAGCATCTGCATGGTAAACCCTTGCCACAAATGGCCGGCTATCAGCTTCCACCACTTTTACCTCTTCTCCATCCCAAAATATTAGCATTTGATGGAGCGAAGATGGAATGCAAAAATTTGGGTGAATCCATTCACGGCCTAAGAGCAAATTATAGGCTGCTGTAGACTCAATAACAAAGAAGGCTGTGATGGAAGTTCTATCTCCTACCGTTAACTCCAATAGTAGGATTCCTTGCGTTTTCACTATTCCTCCAGTGAATCCACTAATGGATACATCAGTTGGAATGATATCTTTAGGAGACTTTCCACGCATGCGTATAACATTGACTGGAACAACATTCAATACTGAACCATTGTCCACCAGAACTCTTGCCAAGGGCCTTCCTTCCACTAGCACCTTGATGTATAAAGGTTTGAGCGGCTGAGTCATGCCATATGGTGGCTTTTCCAACACAATTTTCTTTGGCCTCGTGGGGCTGTTCTCTTCAATCACAACCCCCTTTAATTTCTAGAGATGCTCAGCTTCATCTTCAAAGACCTCCTCTATATGAATACCATTATTTGGTTCTATAATGGTTGGCTTAGAACTAGACTGTCCAAGACTTTCCATGGGAGGACTTGTATCTACTACATCTCCTTCCATTGAATTGGGCTGATTTGGCTGAGGCTCAAAAAATAAAGGAAGAACCACTACCATATTACAAGTAAATTCACCTGGAAGGCTCCCAAAATAGATTTTCTTGCTGCTACTGGAACTGTTGAGAATTTCCAAATCTGTTTTATCTTTTGTAGGAGGATTGTTTGTAGTCAAGGAATTTCCAACCTCTGAATCAAGATCTAGTAAATCATCAGGATCTCTCTCTTTTTCCCTAGCTGGAAGTTCTAATGAGTCTGAAGGCTTAGTAGTCTTCTTTGGCCAGTTGGACCAGCCATGGTCTTTCTCCCATAACCTTCTTCTATCAGCCCTCTTCCTTTGCTGCCTTCGCTTTTGTGTGCGAGTCATATAAGAGTCATCATGAATGGGAAACTTGGGATGATCAAGCCTTCTCCATCCCTCATCTTGTGAGGTTGGAGGTCTAACTATTCTTGGTCAGAAATGCTCACTCTCCCTTCTAACCCATACTTCCGAGGCTATTTTTGGCTTGGAATGCCTGTCACCTTTAGAACCTCTGTCTTGCCATTTACCACTTTCAAACTTTCTACGAGGATAAGAACATGGCTGATAGGAAATTCTATTCCTTTCCAAACTCTTTGGAAGGATTTCTGATTTCCTCTCTACTGCCTTTCTTCCTGGATGAACCCGGCTTTCCTTCTTTAGAATGGTTACAGAAACTGTGTTTTCCACCTTTTGGAAAGTCAGCCGATCATAGACCTTCCTTTTTTGGCCTCAGTCATCGTTGGACAGCCTCTCCTTTGAAACATCTCTATGACAACCATCATTCTGAATTTTACATTTGGGGCAACAACCTTTCTGGATTAAGGCTAATTGAGCCTCACGGAGTTGCTTTTCTAACTCGGCCACCGTTTTCTCCAAGGATACTGCAGCTTCAGGTCTTTCAAGTTTTCCACTAGCTCTTGAATCTGCCAAGTCCACTTTCTTCTTAGGGTGTTCCGCAGCAAGGGAAGTAACGTTCGTGGCAACAACCTTGGGGAAAGGATTTTCATCAACACCATGACTTCTATTTTTTCTGGAAACTTCAACCTGCCATCTTCAATCGCCTTTTGCACTATGTTATGAAAAATCACACAATTATGAGTGGAATGCCTCCATGAATTGTGAAATTTGCAATACTCTTTCTCGGCCATTTTTGAGGCGGATGGCATCTTGTGGCCTATTGTAAAAATCGATTGCTTGTCAACCATGAGCAAATCAAAAATTTGCTCGACTTTAGAGATGTTAAAAGAATAACTCTTGGAAGGGTCTTCTCCTTTCGACTTGGAACCAAAAGCGGCCTGCAAGTTGGCCGTGGCTGACTTTGGTTTTGTCAAGGCCTCACAAGTATAGGCCTTCTTTATGTTGAGCTCAGCTACATTTACTTCAAACTCCCCTTCAGTTTCAGTGGTATACACCTCATAATTAGGATCACGATAGTAAGTACCCTTGGAAGAGCTCTTCCGATCTTGTTCCTCACGAAGGAGCTCTCATACTTAGCCACTCTGCCGGCCAAGTCAAATAAGTTATGAAATTGTACACCTTCAAACTTCTTGCGAAGTTCAAATTCTAGGCCGTTCATAGCCATCTTCACATATTCTTCTGGCAAAGACAAATTACATTTGAACTTGGCCCACCTGAATCAGGAAAGGAAGCTCATCACAGACTTT